AGGAGAATCTGCTCCAAGATTTTGCCAGGCACAGGTGAGACTGACTGGTCTGTAATTCCCCGGGTCATCCATTTTCCCCTTCTTGAAAATGGGGGTTATATTTCCTTTTTTCCAGTTGTCAGGAACCTCACCTGACTGCCATGATTTCTCAAATATGATGGCCAGTGGCTTAGCACCTCATTCGCCAGCTCCTTCAGGACCCGCAAATGGATTTCATCAGGTCCTATGGACTTGTGCATGTTCAGGTTCTTAAGATGGTCTCGAACCAGATCCTCCCCTACAGTGGGCCTAACGTCTTCATTCTCACAGTCCCTGCATCTGAAACATATGGTCAAACATATGTACAGGATTTCCTGGTTCCTGCAGGACTGGTAACCCTTGCTGCGGATTGCACATGGGTTCTCCCACAGGTCAGTTTAACAGCTGGTGGTTGTCTCTAGCTGAAGTATAAGCTCTTGCCATTTCCTGCTTCTTTGGTTACAGCCAAGTCTACTGGACACGGAGCTCCTCCAGCCATTGTAGAAGGTGCCTGATCCCTTTGGGGCCCACTTAGCAGCTGGCAGATCATGCTAAACCTGTCCTGCCTGCCAAGGAGACTGTCTGGCAGAGTCTTCTGCAAACACTCTGCTGCACTTACTGTCCTCACTGTGAAGAGAGCTGCCTCCAAGATGCACATAGGAGAAAGGGCTGGCTCTTCAAAACCTACTCAGCATGTTAAAACTGCCGAGCAGGCTGTACAGCAGCACAGGAGTTAGGGATAGATGCCATGGCCAATTGGCCAGTCCCATCATGAAACCCATCCAGCAGCTTCCTCCATGCCATTTAGTCCTGCTCGTTCAGGAATGAGTCACAGCCTTGACTATGGCATTCCCCCACTCCAGAGAGCCCCAGCATGCACGCTTGTCACTTACCAACCCTGTGCTTAGAGATTTTCTCTCTTTCTTGCTTATTTTTTTTTACTAGACAGACAAGCATATGGTGCACTGTTGTCTGATCAGTCAACAGCTCCCTGGTGCCTGTGGGGATTATATCCAGTGCTTTTAGAGCAGGTATTTGTACTACTTTTACCTGTCACTCTCCATATTGACCAATTCCTGCTTTCAGGATTTTATTTCTACCAGACTACAAAGATCACCCTACTTTAAATCCATTCTGTCTCCTGGATACACATCAGCAAGAGAAGCACAGGTTGTGTTGTATTCTCTTTGACTACTATTATATATTAAAAAAAGATTAATTATAATGGCTATGCTAAAATGCTGTGGTACAGGGGAAGGACTTTCAGTTCCCTTAATTTAAGGTACTTAAGGCTACTCCTCCTGTTGTGTCATGTGTTTGCATTATCTATATTTTTTCCTGGGTAATTTTTGTTTCTGATGAAGTCTGTCGGTAACAGCCCTGGAGCCTGCAGGCTCACATCTGCTCACATCTGAAGCAGAGACCAGCTCTCCTTCAACTAGTGCTGTGAAAGTGTCCCTGTCAAAGTGTGAAGCCCTTAAAAAGAAGGCAAGGTGCTTCGTCCAGGTCCAGGACTGGGTCCCAACCCCACCAGCAGTGCCAGGCTTGGGCAGAGATATATGGGCAATTAAACAGAGGCAGGAAAATTCAAAACGAGCCCTCTGCTAGGTAAAATGTTACAAAAGACAAGGAATAAGCAATCCTGTCTCAAAGAGAGTGAAGAATACTTTTGTGTAACCTTGCCTGGTACTGAAATACTACAACGTATAGTCTTATATTCCATGACATATAGGATATGTCAATGGGATTTCTGTGTCTGGAAACAAAACTTCAACAGAAGGAGAATAGTTTTCCAATACTTTCCAATAAAGTATGTTATTGTCCTTACAAGTTCCCCACACCTTAGACTTTACTTCAAACCTTCTTCTCGGTACATTCTAATACTGAAGTGCATAAGCTTATGTTCATCTTTTTAAAAATAAGCTAACAATAATCTGAAAGTTACCTAAGTACAGCCATTATGGCTTGGCTGTTTTGCCATTCCAGACAGACAACTGTTTAGAAAAGAAGACTTGAGTACTGCAGTCACACTAACGGGAGGTATTTGCTCAAGGTATAGACTCCCCTGAAGACAACAGCAACACCTCATTGATAAATGAATCTATTGTATCACTAGCTTGGCATTCCTAGCAGCCACTGGCAGAGAGAGCCCAAGGACTCAGCACTGAACCCTGTGGGCTTTCCTGTTCATACCAGCGGTAGCATACCAGTCAAGGATGAAGTGGGAAAGAAAGCTTTGGAAAATGCCATCATGCAAACAGAAAACAACGTGCACGCGTTCTGTCTTCCTGCCTCCATCACCTTTAATTACTCTGCGCAAACTGAGATTTGGGAGCTCTCCTCGTCACAAGCGGAAATCAAAGTCTGGTCTGTCTCTTGATGCTGAGCTTCTCATTGCAAAAGGAGGCGCTGAACTCTAAGTAGCACTTAGGCGATGAGGTGATTATAAACAAAATGCTGCAAAACTAAATATTGTGGGGTGGTTGTGAAGGCAAAAGGCAGGTCTCTTGGGATTAATCCCCAGGTCACTTTGTCACTCCCAAGGCACTAAGAGTCTTCTACAAAATGGTCTCTGGATTTTTCTGTGAATCCACTACTCAACAGCAATGAGGAACTGACGCAGCAAAACACAGAAGTGTATGTGTGATGATAAGCTGTTGATCAGCCCTGCCCGTGCTCAAGATTTTCCCTTCCCACTAACAGCAGTGGAGGTGCAGAGGCAGCACCTGGGACTGTGTGCGTGTCCCTAGCCACACCAATGAGACTGGGGCCACTTCTCTGGCCCTCTATCTTCTTCCTTGAATAAGAGTGTCATACTCTAATGCTTCACCACTGGTGTATCAAATAGCGCTCTTGATTTCCCCAAGAGGCCTGGTAATAATAATACCTGTGCACCTGATAATAGGGATTTGTCCTGAGTATTGCTTGACATCGCTTAGAGGCAGAGAATGAAAAAGCTGGTGAGTGTATTAATAACCTTGGTCTTTTCACCAGGGAGGGAGAAGCTCATATGAAGCTTTCTGCTTCATAAAACCTTTACAAACCTATGCTCAGAGAAAAGAGAAAAGGATATTTTTTAATATATCATATTCTTAAAGAGGCACTTGCCTGGAATAGACTGAGCTTTGGATACCATTGTCTAACTGCAGCCTCATAGATGAAGCATTGATTTAGGCTTTATGAAAACTGGAGTCCAGTCTCTCTGCAACAAACTACATTGCTTGGGGCTTTCGATGAGAATTCATTTCCATAAGTTGTTCTTGTTAAGCTGGTGGGTCCATGTGGAAGCCGGCAATATCTCATTTCCAGCACACAGAGGAGATGACAATCAGCCCCATGTCTCTTTACAGGAAGAAAAGGAAGGGGAGAAGCAATAGGAAACTACATGAGGCAGAAGGAATTGATTGCAACCAGCCAGATAGAATTACATTGTGGAGGACATTTAATATTTCATCTTGATCTTTGCTGTAAAATCACCACAGAACAGAAGAGAGAAGCTTCACCTTCTCTTGATTTGAATTGTAAATTCCCACAAGCAGAACCATGATGTGTTTTCAGGCAATCTGTACTGCTATTGCTTCAATGTGTGTGACCCAGATTGCAGGGAGAACCAGAAAGCCACTCCACCTGCTTGGAGACAACAGTGGCACTAAGCCATCATGGCAACTCCCTAGCACAGCAGGTATTTAATCCAATTGTACTAATGAATTTCTCTCCTCCCTTCACTCCTGGGTAGCTGCAGACATACTGGCACAGGGCTGTCTGGTTAATCACTGCAAGGAGGAAAGAGCTTTGCATCCCACAATCTTAAATGGCTCCATCCTCAGAGCCAGACCTTTTAAACAGCACAGCCTGGGTTTCAGTTGTGACTGATGTAAGTAATGGGAAGAGACAGTTGCTGCCCAAGAAACTTTACAGTGTTGAAAGGAAAAGATGGGAAGGGAAACGGAGACTCTGGACCAAGGTCATACAGAAAAACAAGAGGTAGACTAGAAACAAGGATGCCAAATATACTAAGGGCAAATACATACTCAAGACATGCCCATCCCATGCAAATCCTCCAACACTCTCAATCTCAGTAAATCCACCAGCCTCCAGTGCCTCCTACTTCTGTTATATGGCCCACAAAAAATGGGCCATACATTTCCTGTGATGGGAGAAAGTCATAGGCGACGCTTAGCAGGAATCTGAAAAGGGAAAGGGAGGAAAAGGCATCACTGAGCATCCCTACACACCAAAATATCTCCTATAACTCCGACTTGCCTCTAACAGTTTAGCTACTTACCACTGAAATGCAGCTCCCTGAGGTGGATTAGAGCTGGGTCATGTCAGCAGGAGCTCACATCAGAGAGAATAACTGCCCCAAGAGCTCCACCTGTTTATCTTTCCTGCAGCCTAAAGCTGCCAAACACCTCTCCATTTGTCTTGATAACTTCCAAACTCACTCAGCCAACTGTGATTCAGCTCTACATATTAATTATCACAAAATCTCCCATATTTACTCATTGCTCCAGATGATTAATCAGCTATTCAGGCATAACACCATCCATGCCATTGTAATTACAGTCAAATACTAATGTTTTATGCACTGCAATCACAGCTGTCATGAAACACCAGAGGAGTCTGGTAATACAAGCAATGTCATCTCTTCACAGTCTCCACAACCCAAAATTATCTACACTCTGGAATAACTTCTTAAAGACAGCTCATGAGATCAAGGTCTCAGTGCAGGCTAAAACTGGAAACAGAGATGGGCTTCAAAACAGAAGAGGTTTTATGGACAGCATGTGGTGATGAGGACAGCTTTCATTTGTGCTTTCCCTGACTGGGTGCTGCATGTGTGTAGACAGGAGCTGGTTTCAAGGCCAGTGCACTGCAAAATGCTGTTGCAAGCATCGCTCCACTCTCTGCTGCCAGGACACATTCCCCAAGGCTGAGCACTCTGCTCACCCTAGGGTGCAAGGGGGTAAGCAGCCTCTTACCACCTTATGGAGAAGAGATGGAGAGGGAAGGGCCAAGATCATCAGCACTTCATGCATCCAAAATCTGCTCTCAAGAGCAACCACCACAAAGGGCTGGAGTGGTGATGTTGGGAGAGAAGACAGACTTCTTGGCTGATAGTTCTATCAAAATACACCTCACTCTTCATTTTGTTACCCGCTCTGGTTTCAGAGCAGCCTGCAAACAGTCAAGGCAGAGAATTTGTTACACAGAATTTACCAGCTTTGCATTCTTCTTTAGAGCTCTTCCTGCTTAGCTGAGTGCGTACCCTAACCCTTAGATAACCTCCTCAGTAATTCTCCATACACTGGCTCTCTTATCTCACTGACCTTGTTACTTAATTTACTGCAGTGAAATGCCCCTGATAAACTTCCTTTAGCCTTATTCTGATCTCAAACAAAAACATGAAGATGATGACTATTTACTCCCTGAATCTCCTCCCCAGCAGCTACAACATATGGGGTTTTCCCCATTCTCTGTTTTGTACAGGAACAATTTCTCCTTCAGCTTTCTAAACTAGCAAACTTCTGACAAGGGATCAGGGTCCAGGATCCTGAAGCTGGGCTGCAGCAAGGAGCAAATTTCACTATCTATAGTTTATGTAAATAGTCAAAGTATGTATTTACTGGGGTACGTTCCCGAGCCAGGTCCTGCATTAACACACTGACCAACAGTGCTGTCCCTAAGGCCACACACACACACGTTAGGCAAAAGCACTGCCTAGCCAACAGCCTCAACCCCTCTCAGACTCCAAAGCTGCTTTAAAACATCTTTTGCGCTCACATAAATGTCTCAAGCTCATCCTACGTTTGAGTCAAGCACCTGAGCTCAGTCTCACCACTCGAGACAGCCTGGACAAAGAATGCTTGGCTGTCAGTCGGCCTCATAATACTAAATCTTGGATCCCAGCACTGAAATCAAAATGCTAAATGATGTAGCCAGAGCCCAGAAGAAAGGATATAACGTGGAAACAGCATGAAAACTCAAAGTCATTACAGCAGCCGTTACAAAAGTCTTTTGTGTTGTTTTTCTTGGGTTTTTTTCCATTGCATATTTTGCCCAAGGCTGGTGGTGTTCACTTGTTGAGCAGCTCTTTGGTGGTCTGCAGGAAGCTGATCAGTCTTCTCAGTGGGGCAGTTTAATTCGGAAGGGATAATTTAAGAGAAAGGCTATCAGCCTGTTGTCCAGCCTCTGAGAAGCAGCTGAGCCTGCTCAGGGGCTGCCTTCCAGTGGAATGAGTAGCTGCTTGACACAGGGATCTTTTCTCAGCTAGGTAATGAGCTGCATTGATTTTCCTCAAAAAGAAAATTGGACTTTTACAAACAACGCAACAAGCTGCTTGAGTCAGGACGTTGCTGAAGTGATCTTGTGACCACCACAGGTTCCTGTGCTTATCCGTGAAAGAGAAGAAACAAAAGTCAGCAGGTTTGTTCTGCAAGGGCAGGTTGCACCCTTGAAAAGCAAATCTCCTTTCTAATACATTGGTCAAGCACCAGACTAACATGCCCTGCAGGAGCAGTTGACATTCACTTCTCCAGCAAGGAGCACTGAACTACACTTCATTTGGGCCACCCGAGGGCCACTTTGTAGCTCATTGCTGTCAGTCTGGGCAAAACAACTCTATGGCCAGAGGCCCTGAAAACACCTCTCTTTTCTTCCCCGAGCTGTTGAGCATTTTTGACCTCCCAAGGAAGTCTTCACACGGCAGAGCCCATGGGATTGTCCTGTTTACATAGACCAGGCTATCCAGGTCTGGCCATCATAGGTTCAGTTCTTACATCCTAAAGCTAAAAATGATTAGCTATAATCCCCATCTCAATTGCTATGCCTACAGTATACTCCTGAAGCTGACCTGACAGGAGGAAAAATATTCAATTTAGAACGTATCAGTGGAATACAATTCCTGCCCTGGTACCTCTCCAAAGGTGCCGGTGGCCTTGAATTTCTTTTGACCTTTCTGCAGGACATAGGCCACCAGCACCGAGTTTTTAGGGTGGCTGGGAACAATCTCCATTTCCTTCAGCACACAAGGAAACCCTGCCTCTGTCGTTGCAGTCACTAAGGCAGGACCCGAGGTGCTTCCCATCCTGCATGGAGATTGTGATGCCCACACGAGACGCTCAGTAAACCTTGTCCAGCACTGAGGTCCCCACTGCTGCAGCTGACAGGGTCTCTCATCTGAGCTGCACAACTGCAAGTGAAGACAGCATCATCCTGTGGGCATGGGGGTTTGTGTAAGTGTCTCACTCTCTCTCACTGCCCCCTTCTCCCATTCACCCACTGTGGGTGCTTTTGGCTCATCTTCAAATGACCACCCTCACCAAGGGGCAGAGGCTTCCCAGCGCAGCACACTCAACTTGCAGGGTATTGTCTTTACAGAGCTGAGCCCTGAAACTCATCCTCAAAAATGGGAACATGCCTATGGGAATTAAATAGGAAAGCCCTAAGCTATTTTCTTCTGCTAAGCAGGGAGACAACACAGCTACCGCCTTCTCCTTAGCTCCCTGCAATGAGGGAACAAACCAAAGGACAGCAGGGAGGAGCTGCTACTCAAGTAAGCACCATGGAGCTGCACACCCAAGCGCTGGCTGTGTGCACCAGCACATTCAAGCTTGTCCAAACCCCTCCATCTCCTCTCTCTGCTCCCCACTTGCTGGGGCAGAGCACCCATCTCTCAGTGTGCCATTCTGTTTACCTTCAATTCCTAGCTACATGCTCACAGTCGCCCAAGAGGCATCACAATCACTCAGCAAGCAGGAAGGCAATGGGGGTTATTCCCTCGATATCCCACTCCCAAGGCCTTGCTGTGCAATGCAGTCTTATGCACTCATTGCTTCCAATGGCCCCAGAAGGCAGTAGGGCACCCATACAGGCACCAGCTCTCCAGCAAAGCAGGAGGAATCTTCAGTCTTGTACTCAGCTGTGATTAGGCAAGATGCCTGACTCTTGGTTGCTACAGCATCCAATTGCTCTTTACAGTTTAATTTAGAGATCCAACAATTCCTGTCTCTGTCTCCAATGATATCAGTAGACTCTGAAATAAAGCAGTTATGGGCAATAATTTCTCTGATCAGGCATGGACACCTGTAGAAACTTACTGGGGAAAATAAAAAAAAACTTTTCATTGTTTGCCAAATTAGAAAATTAAGGAAAAATATCAGCAGCAGTGAGCTCAGCAGGGACAAGAACTGCTAATTTTGTGTTGGTAAATGAGAATTACAAGAAAACAGAAAATAAATAAAAATGCAAATTTGAAGCCGTAGAAAAGCACAATTAAAAGAAGTAGATGACACGTTTTTCTGTGCCAGAAAGGAATGAGATTAGAATCACAAAATAGGCTCTTCTAGTATTTTTCACATCAGTCACTTCTGTGTCTTGTTTAGTGCATTATAAAACCTGGAGACATACTATAATCTCTCCAGCAAACTGATGTCTTATTATTTAGCTTTAAATATGAGGGGAAGAAAGATTTACAAAACCTCCAGCATATAAAACAAGATAACATTTTCCTTTCTAATGGGATAAAAGAGAGATCATGCCAGTAAATGATGAGGTTGCCAGCACTAGGAACGGTCAGCAAGATGCTCTTGCTGAATATGTGCATGCGCTCTAAGTAGCTCCATCTGACCTAAGTTTATACAGAATAACTGTGGCGATATGTGTAAAGAAGAGAGGCACCACGCTGCTTCAGTGCCCATAGATCCTGACCCAGCTCCTGCATGGTGCATTTTCCTTAGGAGCCAGCAGTAATTTGCTGTTCCTGTCCCTGTTTGCATTAGTGTATGAACAGCGTATGGAAAGGAGAGGTGAAGGGCTGAGAGGTGATCACTAGCTCAGAATAAGGCATCATAATCCCATTTCCAAAGATTCCCAATTTACAATCCCTCTTCCCTTTAATAACAACTGTGTTGGTCTAATGATGAATGAGCTTCCTTTGATCCTGTTTAGGGAAGGAATAGAAGATCTCCAAAGCTCAGACTAACACTGCCTTTTCCAGAAAAAAAAAAAGAGAAGTTTTGCTCCCTGCCTTAAATACAAGATGCCTGGTGTTACCTGCCAATATTCACACCACACCTGAGCTCGATCCTAAAAATGGAATAAAAGCATCAAAATATCTCCTCTGCCCTTCCTGTCCCTTTAATAATCCTACAGAATTAGTCTGAATGTGCTGATTATTTTCCACTTGCATTAATCATGGCCAAATCATGCTAGAGGAGGAAAATACACAGCCTGCTGTTCCCTCTGAGCACTCTCCCCTCACCCTCCTCTCAGAATAGTCTCAGCCTGGAAGGCACCCTGCCAGTGTGATTAACAGTGTGAAACAGGGAAGGGAAAGAGATGGGAAGATGACGGAAAAAGGCTTTTCCTTAAAACTTAGACATGGGGTTTGGATTATCAGAGCAAATCATCAAACTCTTGAGAGCATCCTGCATCTGCAGTGTCAGCTCATGAAATCCAGGTAAGTGCATGATCAATGACCATCATCTTCTGTGGTCTTATTCCAGTCCCTGTCCGCAGCTCCACTCCACATACATACCCAAACATCAGGCTCATTAGAAATGCCTGCCAAGTTTTTCTCTTTTTCTGTTGTGGCTGTGCTTATTAAAATATTCAGTAAAGGCCCAATAAATTATGAAGAGCTGCAAATGGTCAGCTTATTGTAGTAATTGGGATGGAGCCGACCAGGAAAAAAGGTAGGAGGGAAAGCATGTTATTCTCTCCTTGACCAGATTTCTCTCTCCCAGCTTTGCAGCTCTACAGAGCAAGCATTCCCACAGAGCTGGCTAGGAGGCTCCCTTCACCATCAGCCAAGAGAAAGTGAGTGCTCAGGATGATCCAGCTTACCTTAATACAGGCGTCTAAAACACGCTGAGTCCATCCCATCCTGTATCAGTACTGAGGAGGTTCCTAGACCACCCTTTGGAACACCTTGGAAGTTCATCACCTCTTGGTCTGCATTCTGGAGGCGAAGTCAAACTGCATATGTCTAATTTAAAGCTGTGAATGTCACATTTCAGGCTTGATTTGGCCATCACCACTCTCTGCAGGGAGGCAGCTTGTGCTACCAAGCAAGGAGAGAAGCACAAGCTCTTATCCTCAGCCTGTGAACTCCTCCAAAGAGGATCCCTGTTGCTGGCTCTCCTCCACAGCAGCTGCTGCTGTGTCAGAAGAATAGATTCTGCCAGGAAGATTTTTCCATTTTCCTTTTCTTTTGCCAAAATCCCCGAGGGCACTGTCAAAAAATAAAATCATGAAAAAATGCACCCAAAAGAAAGCAGATATGAAGTGGAGTCAACCTGGCAGAAGGATTGGGTGACAAGGCCAGAAAGCAAGGAGTTAGTGTTGGGCTGTTTCCAGATGCATTATGGTCATGTCACACATCAATAAGCTGCAACAGGCATAAAGATGGGCAAAATTTTGCCTACAAAGCCAGCAGCTTCATACATAGATAGAATCACTGAGAAGCTCAGGAGAGTGTTTCTAGTCCTGGTCTTTGCAGAGTAGGGCTAGACAGTAAGAACTGAGAAGAAGGGAAACCCTCAGTTCAAACAAAAAGCCTTCAAAGGCTCTTAAGGCAGCTGAGCATGCTGAAAGACACATTTCACGTACCATGGCAAAAGGGTTAAGATGTCAGTGCAAGTCAAAGCATTTAGTATATAATGCCTGAGTTCTCCCCAGGCAAGTGCAAAAGTCTCTCCTCCTGCTGGCAGTGCCTAAGAGAGAAAAGCAAGGCCTTGCAGAAGGGTTTTTGCTGAAGAATTTTCCTCTTCCTACAGTCCTGAAATCCAAATCCTTATAAGTCTTTGCATGGGAGGTTCACATTCTGTATTACAGCTGTTCAATGCTCTAAGGGCTGCATCCAAAACCTGCTGAAGATACTGTACTTAGGTGGATCAGGCCAGCCACATATATGTAACATGGCCGGAAATCTCAGACTTTCAATGGTTTTGTTCTCTGGTAATAGAGACACTCACAGCAATCTGCTGTGACAGCAGGTGGCTTGAGGAGTATTTACAGAAGGAGAGGTTTTCCTTCCCCATCATGCCCAGAGCAACACAGTCGGGCAAAAAAAATGACGACAAAAACTACACACAGTGACAGAACCAAAACATGCCACAGGAAAACACCTTCTGGTGTTGTTTTGTTGCTTTTGTCGGGGGCAAAGCTCCCAGAGCTCCCATCAACTACTTGACCAGTTTAAAACAAAGAATCATTGCTGCTTTCTCGCTACGATAGTGATCAGGAATGATTTTGACTGAAATAGCTCATCTCTTGACTGGTGAGGACTTCCCTTGAAGCCGTCTAGCTTGCAGGACATGCAGTGTTCCAGCTTACAGTCTTTAAGTCCCATGAATGTTGAATGTGTTCCTGGGGAAGTCATCTTAGAGACAAGCCTACCAGGCAACAGCAAAGCGGATGCTCTGAGCTTGCAAGGTGAAGATGTTGCTCTACCTTTAACCCAAGGGAATTGGTAGACTTGACTGCCCTGCCCTCCTTGTGCCACCGTGGTGCTCTCTTGGTCTTAGGCCTCATACCACAGGATTTGTGTAATGGGCTAACAAAGGTGATAACAGTTGAGGTCCCTAGAAACCCCTAGGGAAATGCAGCTGACACCTACTGACCTTCTCCATTAGATCATGCATTGCTGACTCCTGACGTGATCTTGACCTCTCGGTCCCATCATGATATCATCTGTGTTTTAACACAGGCAGAGGCAGATGAATTGAATCCCATCAAGGAGATCCAAGAGAAAATTTTCCCTCAAGAGACATACTGATGCAAAGGGTTAACCGATGTACAGGGGGGTTAAGGTTAAGCTGCTTGCTTAACAATGTTACTGCTTACTCATGCTTACATAACAAATGCACGCTCAACACTTATCGTGCTTGCCGAAACAGGGTGGGAGGCCCAAGGCTATTGATGAGAGGAAAGAACAGTAACTTGGTTCCTGTTCTCTGGACCCCTAAACTGGCTGAAATCAGCTTTGCGGTTTGGACAGTGACTAAATCACCAGGGAACATGGGCAACGACAAGAGGTGAAAAGGTCAAGGAAGACTCATTTACTTCATCTTGAGACCCTCACCCACGACCACCAGGAGACACTACACAAGCAAGGAGCTTTTACCTCATTATAATGTGAAGAGGGGATAGGTCACGAATATGTATAAGTGTGTTGTGTAATCTAATGCATATGTAATAGTTTAGAGGATAAATATAGAGGAGAACAACGCTGGGGTACTCATGCATTTGGAGGAGCAATCCCCCATGTGTCTCAGTGCTGAATAAAGCATACTTACTTTACAACTGTAACGACTTGTGGAGTTTATCCTCGCATCCATACTTTGTTTCATACTTAGGAGAGCCTCCAGTGCTACCTGACATAAAGGTTCTGCTGGCCTCAGTGCCTTCTCATCACTGTGTTCTCACAGGCTCTTGTTATAAAGGTAACAGCCAGGCCTTTCCCTGACATACATTGCAAAGATGAGGTGAAACCATCAGGCAGGGCTGAGGAAGGATGCACTCTGTAGGCTGCATGTTCCTGTACCACTGCACGACATGGAGTGCTCTGATCAGTGCATTTCAAATAAAACACACTCACATTCATCAGCTCCAAAGGAAAAACAAATCCTCATGTAAGCTTTTAGAAGGAAGGCCAGAGAACTGCTGGATCACTGCTTGGAAAGGGCAAAGTTGGAGCAGAGCTTAATATTAAATTAGTGAGAAGTTTAGATGGAAAACACTCCAAAACCACTTGTGTGCTGAGCTAGTACCAAAGGGTACCCTGAAGGTTTTTAATCATTCGCAGGGCTTTGGCACCAGCATTGATGTTTGAAACCTGAACTTGCTTTGAACACAGTGTTCCCAGCTGCTGTTGGCTTAAGAAACAAACTGTTTGGGAGGCTGAGGCAAGGACGTGTGTGAAAAGGAGAGAAACCTGCCTTGTTGCTTCTGTGAGATTCTCAGGAGAGGAAAGGACACAGCAAAAAAGGGCCTTAAATACAGAACAGAATGACAGCTCTGATGTGGCCTGTCTTGCAAGGACTTCTTCTCCCCCATACCTCGATAATTGTTCCTGCTTCCTCTTAAATAATAAAGTTCTTAAAAGAAGTTAACAGTGTGTGAGTCTGCAAATACCACTGCTTATAGGAAACCGTGGCAATCCGCATGCCATTCTCCTGATTCTTAGAAACTCTTACATACTCTCAAAACTCTTCCCAGAACTATGACTGGATGTGGTTGCCCACACAGCAAAGTGTGATCCTGCAATTCAGCAGCCCATACGTAACTGCTGCTCTCTTGCATCCACCTTTCCCTTCAAAGCTGGAGGCATTGGATTCTGCACAGACTGGTTTCTGACATGCTTCTAAGAGCCTGCAAGCACATCTCCCACCAGCAGTGAGAGGTCTGAAATGACAGGCTCCATTAGTCCATGCAGAATCACATTTGGTTCTCATTTTCTAACAGACATCCAAGATAATATTTTTAGAAGAAGCTATACTGGTATTTGCAAAAAATAGCTTTCTCTGCTTTTATCCCAAGTGGGGTCTTTTCCAAGTTTCTTTTCCTACTTTAGCCATATCTCTAAAGCTGTTCATATTAAATAATCCGATTCTAGAAATGCATTAATCAGAATCTCTTTGGGCTCCTATTGCATGTGCCTTTCTCTGTGTCACAAGACAAAAATACAATCAGCTCAGCCACAACCTAATTCTCTTCCACAGTAGAGGAAGCACAGATCTGAGGACCATATATAGGTGACAGTGGGTTCATCCAGTGTTTGCATGGTGCCGTTGATGTCCATGCATCAAGAGGAGCAGCATCCCAAGACCACCATGAGGAGTGTGCCCTTATTGATCCCTCACAGTTAAAAATACAGACCCACAGCCTGGTGCAATCCATCAAATGGAAAGGAGAGCCACCAGCATTGACTGGCTTTGCCGAGTGCTGACCTGCGTTCCTCCAGCTACATTAGTGTGGGGAGCCCTCATAAATCTGTTTTGGGAAGGGTTTTCTCTGCTTGCTTGTTTTCAGCTCTGCTGAAAGCCTGGCAGGATAAAAGACATCCCTGATGTCTGCAGGGGCTCTGCTGCCTGCTGGCAATAAAGCTTGAAGCAATTTGATAGCACAGAGGTGAGCATCCAGAGGCAAGGCCATGGGGTGCACCAGGCTGGTGCTGAGCTGCAGTCAACCAGCAGCCATGGGAACAGTAGAGCAGAGCAAGGCCCTGGGGTCTGGCTCTTTCCACACGTTTGCAGGTGCCCCCCGGTGATGCTGTGCGCATTAGGGATGCACTAAGTAAGGATTATCACTGTGGGCCCAGGTAAACCTCAAGTCAGGGCTCACCTGCCCACCACCAGCCTGCCTTTTCTGGGCAGTCATGGGCAGTGTGGCTCCATGAAACCACCCTACACCAGGGATGCCCTTTGCTAGCAGTGGGGCTGTGTTTCTGCTGGCAGGAACCAAAGGGAAGGGCAGGAAATCAAAAGGGAAACCATTCCTGACCCTAAAGACACCACACCAAACCCACCCCCTGTCCCCAGCCAGTCCCTGAGAACCATAGTGGGATTAGCAAGGGGGTGAGCAAACATGACCACACAGCACAAGACCCCCCAAGAAGTCTCCAACACAAACCTATTTACCCCTCTGTCTAGGCACTGCTTACACCAAGGTGAATGAGATCAGCTTTCTGGCCCTGTTAAGCTTCATCAACTGGCCCATGCTGAATTATTTAAAACCATCTTTTATTAATCTACCACTGCTTTTTTTTCACTTGACCTTTAGCAAGCCACTTACCACTCTGAGTGGTTTGCACCAGCTTCATCCCCACACGATGATGCTGCAGGTGATGAGAGGGACAGGCCACTACCCTGCTACTGCTCTTGAAATGTTTCAGATGCCGCTAGACCAAAGTGGGCTGCTAACTGGAGCATTGGATTTACCCTCATGCTTAATGGGAGGTCTTGTCTAAATGTACAGATCATATTGCTCAATTATGACAATACTTCTGTTTAGAAGCCCCCTGCTTAGGGTATTGTACATTCTTTTTAAACAAGTTTAGCATACCCAAACCCAAACAAGCACAGGCTAAAATACTGCCAGCGCCAGCACAGAGGCTAAACACAAGCAGTAAAACTTGGGCACTGAAGGGAACATACCCCCAGCCCAGCTCCTTCTGGTGTCCACCATCATCCACCACTAGCCCCCTGGCTATGTGACCAGGGTTGCCCACATGGCCTTGGGGCTGAGGCAGCTCTAAGATTCAGTTTTGAGGATCTGCATTTGAGACACAACCATCCAAACGAGGCTCATGCCACCAAAATTCCCTCCACACACATACGGGATCAAAAATCTCAAGCTGAGAAAGAATTTGGGAAATAATCTAATCCAGTTTCTTGCCCCAACAGACCAGCCCTCAATCTTTGCTATCCCACTTTCTGCAAAGTGTGGTCCACTTTGCTGTGCTGGGCTTAAAGATCAGAGACTTCAACAGGGCTTCACCAATTTACTCCGGCTGGGGAACTGGCTCCAGCCATTCAAAGCCCTCTTGAGAGCTCACACAACCTTCACAAGGCACGCACATCCTGCTCTTTTTACTCTTCATTCACCTTTTGAACACCCATCTGTGTTGATCACTGCTATAGCATGCAAGATCTCAGAGCAGGGACATTGCTGTCTGATGTGTGATGACTTTACAGAGCTGATACTGCCCAATGTCAGTCACATGGAGTCGCTATGACTCTGAGCCTGGCACCAAGCATGGTCAGACACACCAGACAGGTGTGAAGGAGCAGACTGCAGGGAACTCACAACTGGCCATTGCCTGCGAATCCAGTGTGTTTAACTTGCATGAAAAATCCTAAATAATCCTAAATAATTCAACTGAGTAACCTCATGCTAACAAATAAAAATGTATCTACTCTTGAAGGAAGAGAGATTTGTCACTCTGGGATATAAAGCAATGTCAGGCTCCTATAGATAAAGCAAGACACTGTAATATTGATAAGGTATCTGAATTTGGCTTATAAATAAAACATTAATTCCTCTGTCTTCTATAGGGTACTGGATCAAACCCTGCCAGCACACAAGCAGGCAGGGCCCACAGCTCCAAGCACATCTTTGGTTTGACCAAATCAAGGCTCATTCTCTCAGTCTCCACTCACTAGCAGGTGGATTTTGGCAATAAGACTACTTCTAGTTAAGTATCAACCTCCAAGGTCAAGCAGTTGATTTCTGACAGCTACATAAAGAGGCTTGGGCAGGTGGAAGGGGTGGCAAAGGCAGAGGGCAAGGTCTTTATACTTCCAAAGGTGATAAACCACCTACAAAACAAGTCAAGCCCTGTCCAAAGGGGAGTTGTAGAGAATCACAGAGAGAGAGGCAAAGATCATTTTCACAGCAAAAGAACAGATGATAAATAATCCTCCCAGCACAAACTGAACAGAATGATAAGTAATGGGGCGGGCTCAAAGTGGTCCGTGCCTATTTACAAGACAAGTACTTGAGGTTCATAATGAAATTCCAGATATTGTGGTTTATCTGGAGGTTTTAGAAGACATGCAGATGTGGCACTTGCAGATGTGGCACTTGCAGATGCACTTGCAGATGTGGCTTAGTGGTGGACTTGGCAGTGCTAGACTAACAGCTGGTTCAACCTTAAAAGTCTTTCTCAGCCTAAACAACCCTATGATTCTATCTCTGGCCTATTCAAACCATGCTGCAAGCAAACAGCTGAGGGCTGAGAGTTTGGTTTTGCTGTGGCTTTCTTCCTCAGGCCCGGCAAAGATGGAAATGCCAGCATCATTAATTTCTATTATCTGTTTTCTTCCCCTGTTAAGCCACCACCACCCAAGCAGGGCACAAGTCCAGCAAAGGCACTGGACCAAGCACATCTGCTACACACAGACATCACATTTTCTTCTGCTACCTGCGACTGCATTGCCATGTCTCACACATTGCCACTGATTGCCTTTCTCCTTGCTTCTTCTCTCACAGTCCAAAGCTGTCCACTTTTCCTCAGGGAAACCGGGGCTGCCTCCCAATGGCTCTAATTCAAGGCTGCTCCTGTGGCTGACAAAAATGCTCTATTTCTGCACATATCCATGCATGGATGCTTCCCTGCAGCTGATCTTCAACCACAGGGCTCACTGAGTCAGGCACTAACCTTCTTTCTCCATTGCAAAAGCAAGTGCTTCATGACAGAGGCACAGGCTGAAAGATACTGGCATGGAAACTAACATCAATGGATTTAAGTCCTAAATCCTCAGCATGCTGTGTTTAATGAGTGGGTCAAACATGGAATTCCTGAGCACAGGACAAGCCCCTCGCCCTTCTCCACTTCATAAAGCAATGCTGTTTGCTTTCCAGCTTGTGTTTGCCTGCCCACTGCCCTGAGAAATGGGAAGCATGGGAGACAACCCTTCCCCATTAAGCCTATTTCCCAGTTGAAGATAAACGTGGCAGGAGAGCAGGAGGGACAACCCACACTGAAGCAAAACCTGAAGTCCCAATGAATAAGCTGAATAAGCCCAGAGGAAAGAGGACCACGTTCCCACATGGGCTGACAAAGACAAGGGTCCAGAGTAATTTAATTCCTATCCACACATGATGCTCCCATGCAGCTCTGGTCTTTGAACACTCTCTGACATTCAGAAGATGTTCTAGCTTTACTGCCCACATAAACATCCACTGGGGCTGCTATCTAGGAAGAAAAGGGAGCTAAATATTTAATTTCAGTCTATTTCATCAAATATTTAATCTATTTAATATTAATTAAATCTTGGTCTGAATAAACAACAGCTAAAAAAAAATCACCTCTTCCATCAAACATCTCATAACTTGAACAGGCCAGTTTAGACCAACTCAATTAAGATAGCAATTAATAACGGAAGAGGGCCCTATCTTTATTTTCCCAGGGCTGGAATTGCTGTGGTGGGTTGCTGGCCTCCTGTAGCCTTTTAGGCCGAACCCTTTTGCAGCTGTACAGTAGAATCATGCAGTTTATACCAACCACTTCCACATCCTGTTTCACCATCTTTCATTTTCCATGGACTTTATTTGTAGCCCCACAAGTGGTGCCCTCATCCCACTCCCAGACACTGTTACATCCTCAGCAATAGGAATCCATGCTAAGGTGAGAGCAAAAGCTATTTGAGTGACAGGAAATAAAACCCAGGCACATAAATGGCTGAGCCAGTAACAGGCATTGCTGGGGACAGTGAGCAACAGCTACAGTAGGAGCAGATCATTTCCAGCACAAAGGATTTAAGCCAGCTAACACTTGGCTATAAAGACAGCTGCCACCATTGCATCTGCTGCTACAACCATCTTATTTTACCACAGAAAACCCTATTTGGACCAAACCCCATTCATAGCAGTCATACAGCCAGAGAACATTTTCCAATTAGCCCCAGCAGAGCCAACAGTGATGAAAGATTGCCCTACATACAACACTACTTACCTTGTTTTCCTCGCTGTGTGCCTGATTTAGCAGAACAGCATTTAGCTTTTCTTCTCCTCTGCTGCACTGTTTTAAAGCCCTCTCACCCAAACGCTGACTGGTGTTGGTGGAAGTAATTATACTGCTGTTCAAAATGTATGAGATATATCTTCATTATCCTGAGACAGTAAAGCCAAAGGCCCCGTGATGGTAAATATTTCAATGTAAGTACACCAGATTAGTCCCTTTAAACTGGTTATTTTAACACCTCTAGCCCTACAAAACTTTGGGGCTTAAAAGCCACGAGATGTGTTGAAAATAATGAATATGGGATTACTTTCAACATCTCTGAAGTTTAAACCCTTGGGTTGTGCTTTGGTTACAGGTCAAACCCTAACCATGGGGAGACTCCACTCTCTTTTGACTTGGTTGACTTGGGTCATGTATTATACCTTAATAATGTATTTGGAGTCCTCTCTATAAATGTGCCCTGGGTGATGCCACAGCAGAGTTAATGAACACAGAGAGCTGTGTTTGTGCCATGGAAAGGCTGCAAAGCACCGGGCACAGCCATGCCTAAAGTAACAGGAAGCTCATTCTGAAGGACCTTGTTCTAAGGAGCCATTTCATGTCAAATACCTGCACCATGACACCAAGAACAAACTCAGCTTTACACTGAAAGGCTTTGTCACTCCATTACCCAGGAATCATGATTGCAGGGATAATTGCTAGGAGAAAGGGAGCTCTGCCAGGGTGTAAATCAGCATCACAGCAGCTAAGCTGCACAGGTCAAACTAGGGTTAACCCTGCAAGCTCAGGGTTTAACCCCATAGGTTTGAGTCTGCAATAGGAAGAGTTTGTCCGAATTTTCCTGGGGGCACAAGTTATCCTGGTAATAAAAGGCCAGAACTCAGCATTTCACTCTAAAACAGAAGCTCAGTCAATTCAGGGAGGCAGAAGGTTGGATGTGGTGTCTTAAATACTTATCTACACATTTATTCTATTCTTTTACTCAAGGGAGTTTTCAGTTAACACCTTAAGGTTTCAGTCTTCAGATGAATGCTTTGCAGCAACTCCATGTGTGCAGATGAAGGCAAAGGAGCCTTCAGCAGGCATTATTTTATCAGAGATGTCCAGTGGTTGGAAGCTCACCCTATTCTGTGGACAGCAATTGACAAACAGGAAGAAAGCCATAAAGTCATGGTCCAGCAAAACACAACTGTTTCAATTGGCAAAGGAGCAATCAATCCTTCCACATAGCAGCTGATTTAAAACAAGGGTTTCTCATCTCTGGGAGCTAACCCTATAGCAGGTCATGCAGCTCTGGAGGACCTTAAGGCTGCTCCTGCAATCGCCATACCCCAAACTGTGCCCAAACCAATATAGGCAAAACACTGCAAGGAAAGCAGGGATGCTCGGATCAGCTCATCTCACCTCCTGATAGAACCCCTTCGTTCCATTGCTCTCACACAGACCCAGTTGCTGGGGTTTGACTCGAGGATGTGTTTGAAAGGCATCCAGACCTCCCACTGTAGAGCACTGCTGGAGGGAAACACATGTCAGTGGGATTTCTCCAGTAGTGCAAAAGGCACCACTGGTCCCAGGAAATCCCTGAGAGCCTGAGGAACCCCCAGCCTCCAGGGAAGGCTCCTTCCTCCTTCCTGTTCCTTAAAATCTGCTACAGGACACTCTTAGAGCTCCAGAGGGAGAGCAGGACCTTAAATCCAAGCCAGCATGGATCCAAGCCAGCCATCCCCTAACTTAGCCAAAACAGAGTTAAGGATCACATGAACAGACAAAACTAGAGCCAGCTTAAGTAGTTTTAAGCCAGTTTAAGCCAGCAAGTTTATACCTTTATTACCTTATATAGACACCTATGTTCAAGCAAGGGAGATGCCTTCCTGCTCCCTTTTATGGTTTGTCCTCCTGAATTTTTATCAGATTTGGGTGCTGGAACCTATCTCACATCCTTATATACCCAGGTGTGAGATGTTGGTCCTCTTTGGGAAATGAGCCCTCCAAGGAGACAACTCAAATGGCCAAGAAGGTTCCCCAAGAAAGAAGGGATGTTGAATGACCAGCTCAAGCAAGAGCATCTCCATTCAACACCTCCCAACATCTTCTGACAGCAGGTCTCCTCCTCTGCTTGTAACAAACCACCCTCCTGGGACCACCCATGTTTTATGGTGCCTCCCACAACCCTGTTCACCATTCCCTCTGCTCAGCCTTGAAGACATTTGAGAGTGCATTGTGTCCTTGTGCAGCATTACTGTAGTGTGACCCCCAGCTGGAATTTCACCTGGACTTCCCAGTGTTCAGACTACAACTCCTTCTGTTCACAGAGGGGTCAGGATCTGGTCCTGGAGCATTTGTGTGCTGACTGAATACTAGCAGCTAACACAGGGGGTGGGGTCCCCACTAACCCTGTTCTCTCTTCATTTCTATAGCTTGGGATAAGGCACAGCAATCACAGCTACAGATACTTAGCAAGTCACTGAGATGTTCCTAGAAACCAGCTGCAAAGCGACGTTCATAGCAGAGATGATGAGCCAGCTCCTAGTGCGCTGGCTGCCAAGGCACTGGCTGTAATAAAGGAGCAATCTCAACAGACTTTGAACTTTTCCAGTGGTGAAAGAACAGGGAACATTAAGAAATAAAGTGAAATAAACTGAAGAGCATCAGCTGACAACAGCAGGGCCACCCAACCCACAGCAAAATCCCAAGGCACCAGGTCCAGCAGCCCCTGGGCTGGGGGGATGCTGGGTGTGATTGGGGGTACTTACGGCATAGGACGGCTGATGGACATGGGCTGAAACCCACAATGGCATTTAGTGTGAGCAGAATAATTCGGGCTGAGTCCATCCCTCGCTGGAACATCTTGGAGAGGCTCCTCCGTGCAACAAGCTCCTTGTCCTCCCCATGCCAGAGAATGGGGACCAAAACCCCACCAAAATAAATGCATGTGTCAGTACACTGAGGGGGTCAGGGACAAGCCCTGGGTAGGAGGACACCCATCTCTTCAAGGGCAACCCTGCTGCTTGTGCAGGGACATTTAGTGACACACCAGACCACTTCACCTGGGTCCTTCCTGCATGTCCCTGAGCCCTTTGGGCTGTCCTCTGGGGTCACTATACAGTGTGTAGGGTGCAGGGTCACCCCATGCAGGAAAGCTATGGAGAAACTTCTCCAGGGCAGAGCTGGCAGCATCATCTGCCCACTGCTTGCTGTGCCAGGCTGGATGGCTCCCAGCCCACTGGGAGGCAGATTCCCTCCTTGCCCTGGCACCATTAACCTTTCAGCTGCAAAATAAAAGGTTATAAAGCACAACCAAAGTTCATTACATCTCCTAATGCATCATTTGCATGGGAATGAGCTGGGAGCAATGAGGCAGCCTTCTCCTGCAGGGGAAGGATTTGGGAAGGGGAAAAGCCAGGCGTCAAGGCCTGGAAAGGGTGATGGGGCTCAACCCCACAGCAAGATTGGGCAGGCATGGAGGTGAGCAGAGCTGGACATGGTTATGGCAGGGCTGGAGGGAGCATTCCAGCAAAGCCCACATCAGCACAACCTCTGGGTTGGAGGCAGCAGGGCTGGTCCTCACCTTCCAAAGCACAGGCAAGCAGTTCTGCTGTGTCAGACGCAGGGAGTCATTGCCCCCATGGAAAGCAGACCCTTGAGTATTTTATTTGACCACAAGGGCACGAGGTTTTGAGGAGGACACAACCCTGGGGCATAATTTCAGTTTTAGGCACCTTTTACTTTTGATGGGAAGTTGGGAGAAATCAGACATTTGAGCTGTGCAACCTTCACCAATTGAAAGCCCACCAAAGCCCCAGTGCCCTGGCCCCAAACCCACTGAAATACTCTGCAGTCTGTACTAGACATTTGGCCACAGAGACATCAGACAGCCAGAGGGATGGGGCAAGAGTAACCAATAGCTGCTGGATTGCCTCCTGTCCCAGGCACCATCTCCTATGCCTCCCTGAGGTCTGCTTTGTAAAACCCTCCATGGCCAACAAGACCAGCTGAGACCAGAGGAAGGACAGCAGGATCAGGCTCTCCTGGCCTGCAAAGGCCATCATGAGGTGACCAAGGTGTTCATATCTGGGCCATCATCGGGTGCCCTATACCCAGCAGCGATGCTGCTTGCCAGCCCTGGTCCACCTCCCAGCTTGCTGAGCACCTCAGCCACTGACAGAGTGGGGCTGTGAAAGCAGCAGCTCCAGCACTGAGCTCTGGTCACTGATTTTCTCACCAAACAAGAAGCAGAGCAGGGAAGCAGGGTGGCTCCAAGCACCCCAACAGTGAGAAGAGCAGGAGCCAGAGAGTTACCTGTGTCCCAGAGAGTTACCTGTGCTCCTGAACAAAATGAAACACACACTAAAGCACTCGCAGGATCAGCACCTCAGGTCCCCCCACCACCACCTTTGGAGCTACCTGTCACTTGTGGCAAAGAAGCAGCACAGCTGAAGCCGATGGCGAGTGGACCCTGTGGTCCTCAGGGAGGCAGACAGCCACACAGCAGCAGCACTTTATCTGGTGGATCCCCATCACCCTCCTTCAGGGAGGGTCTCTGCAGCACTGGTGTGAACCCATCCAGCTGGAAACAAAGTCCCACTCGAATGGACACTTCTGCATATATCAAGAAATGTCCCTTCCAGCCTAATCATTTCTAATCCCATCTGCAGCCTAATTATTAAGAACCTTTCAACCCAGTAGCTGTAAATGCTGCACCAGCCTGGCATCCCCACACCCTGGAACACTGAGCTCTTTAAGAAACAGGAGTGCTTTTACTGGGGCATGAAAGGGGATAAAGAAAATAAAGACCAACAAGTACCAAGGACTCATTTGTTATTATGCCACTGCCCAGTGAATGGAGCCATTGTTCCCTACCTGGGGTAACACCACCTTTCAGAAAACACCAGTGCTTTTCCCAATGTGTTCTTTAAAACACACCAAGCCCAAAGCTGCCGGAGGAAGGGCGAACAGCTGGAAAACAGAATGGAATAAAGCAGCTGACATTATGCAGAGGGTTTCACACTTGATCTGTAAATGCTCTTTTATTTAATAAAAATAATCATCCATTGTAGCAAGTTCTGCTCGTGGTTTGGGGTTGGGTTTACATTAAAGCACAGGTTATTTGCTTTCCTCACCTCTTGAGGAGTCAATCCTTAAAATGCAAGTGAATGTAAACATTGCTCTCCAGGTCTCGAGATGCATCCGGGGACCCTCGGAGTTAATCACAAAGTCGTAAGAGAGAGCAAAATCAACAAAACACTTCCCA